TGTTAGCGCCGAGGGTATGAATGATTGGGGTGCACCCCCTCCCCAACCCAACCCCAAGAGTAGTGATGGGGAGAGAGACCCCCCCACACAGAAAAGGGTGGCCAAGGTTGAGAAACACTGCTCTATGTTGTAGTGGCTTCCAGTTGCTTAGAAGGCACTTCCAATATTTCCCCCTTTGTCACCTCCCAAAACATTTCTAGAGCTTTGACTATGGGAAGATGGCTCAGAAAGTCCAGAATGAAGGTTCAGAAAGCCAAGTGTTCTTCTGATCAAGTATCCTAGAGCTTCTGTCATAAAAACATTCTGAACAGTTTATAACACCTTCACTCTCACCTTATAGACCTTTATTCCTTTTACCAGTCAAAAATCTAAACCTTTAAACCTTTTATACAGTCAAAACATGTCTTGAGAGAAGCTAACTAGCAAATGTAGGATTTACTAACATAAGGGTTTTCCTTCTCCCCTTCATCCAGGACTTCCCTTTGTGGCCATGGAACAGTAAAATCTGGTGTTCCTCAAACGCTTACACCTTGTTGAACATAAAAGGAGGCAGAGTCATAAACTGTAAGAGCAATGAGGAACAGCTTCTTCATGTGGCCATTGAAAGAACAAGATGGTTTGAACTATGACTCATTAGAACAAATCTGTCATTTTTTTTCATTCATTTCATTTGTTTCAGCTCTGTACACAATCATTGTAATTGTTTTAGGTATGATAAAGCAGTGTTAAATATTTTCAGTATCAATTTTTGTCTCAAAAGAAATAAAAGTAAGCAAAAAGTGTATGAGTGTGTGTTTGTGTGAAAGAAAGAGATTGATTTGCTGGTGCAATGTTCTCTGTCAAAAGCAAACTATAAATGGAAAAAAAAAGGTGAACACTATTTTGGGGGGTATAACCTTAAAAGAACAACAACACCAGAGTATGTTGATGTGAGGGCAATCTGGCTGTAACATCTGTCACCCCATTGACCCCCTTTCTCACTGCTCCATGTACGTCCTTCCTGAAGCTGCACACTCACTGGAAGAGGACGACCATCCAAGATAGGAGTGTCCCAATCTTCAGCCATACATTTATTTACAAAGGCCTGATTCAACAAGTTAATAAGGAGTAGGGGGGGGGGGAGATTAGTTCTTCTACTGTTCTAATTCATCTGGTAAACTGGCTCAGATTACCTACTCAATCTTTCTATTATGGTGTAGTGCCAATGTGGAAGACCTTTGTTATTTCGAGGAGTTTAGGTGACATAGTTTGATTTATCCTACACATGTTAAGAAAGCTCACTTTGAATCATAATAATGTTTAGCTGGTTTGTTTTTCACTTTTACTTAGAAGCGGGGGTGGGGTGGGTGGGAGGAAAACCCTCAGGATTGTTTAGGTTAAGCACTAGCTTATCTACCCAGTTCCCAGGCTCTGGAATCCTTAGATGGGCAGGTATAACTTCTGGTCAAGGTCACTCTCACAGCCCCTGACTCCAAAATAGAGTCATGGGATTGCAGTGCCAGATGTTGATAAAAAGCTCTGACGTTGCCCCTGGAGTTTGGAGTGTGGACACAGGCCCTGGGACTAGGCGCTGTGTTATCTAAGCCATCTTGGGGTGTCTCCGCTGTCACCTTATGGTAGCTCCCAACAGTAGGGGAAGAGTTGTATCATCTTGCTTGGTATGTTATGCTTTTGTACTATGCTGTTGTATTCCTGTTTAAATCCGTTTGCTAGGGTTAACAATAAAGCTTAAAATCTCCTCACCTGCTAATGTGTACATTGTCTCTGGATCTAAAAGAACTAAAGAACCAGTTGCCCGGGCACCTGATCACTGCCTTGACAAATGGCAAAACATATGGTAAGTTTCACTTGAGTTCTATTTGTAATAGATATCTGAGTTTTGCCCATAGAGCTGAGGTCCCCATAGAGCTTCCCAGGCTTCCAATTACAAACCTCTTTGACTTAATTTGCTCCTAGACTTAATCCATTTCTATATTCTAATTGTCAGTGTTGTGATGAATATGTGCTGCATGACCATATTTCTAAGAAGCTAGCCCAGGGAATCCAAATCATAATAAAATAAAATAAAATATAAAATAAAATAAAAATACTTCTCAGCCCTCACTGGATCATCAGCAAACTTTTAATGCAATCTTGTCACCTGAAGATGGTTGGATTTAGTTGCCTGGCTGATCCACCTGAGTCTGGACCTTATAGGGAAAACACTTCTAAAGACTCCTTCTAATCTTAAACGATATATAAATCATGTATCTTTTGAGATTTCCCTCATCCTGGTTTCATTATGCTCATAATTACTGGCAAATAATAGTCGGAGTGTACAATGGCTGGCAACTAGGGTTTCTTTTCTTAGTACCATAATATCTGTAAGTCAGATACAGACAATGGGCTTGTATTTAGATGAAGTAAAAACACAATTAAAAAAAAATGGAGCATCCTTACTTGTCAAGATACATCTCTTTAAATTGGCTTTTTAATTCTACGCAGAGATTCCAAGACTTTATGTGCTCTGATGAGTTTATGTTTACAGGTGCAATGTGAGCAGAGAGACTTTGCATCTCTGTCTTCCTTCTCAGCTGTTTTGTTTATAAAACTATTTCTACTCCCCTGATTGATATGGCAAAGAATTTATTTAGATCAGTTCCAGGGTTTTTATCAATTTTCTTCATTTTGGTGAGTATAGCAGAGAGGATATTGGAGATTTGGTTCACGGCTCCTTCCACCTGTCCCCAGGCTTGTTCCCATGCTTTTTTAAAGTCTTTCCAACAGCAGACTTTCCTGATTTAAAAAATTATGAGTCTTTAAGGAATATTTCCAACATCAGTCCTTCCTCTAATACTGGATCCTCTCTGTAATCTTGAAAGGGCAAATTCAGTGGATCCTATGGATAGTTTTCAAAGCCATAGGATTCTCATCTTAGTGCTTATTGTGATTTTGATATTTTAAGATACTTTGCTTTAGATGCTATGGAGATACACCTTTTTTCTTGTTCATTTGCACTCACAAATGGGAGGTTCTAGAGAACCTACAGCTATTAGTTTTGTCTGGGCCTCATATTAGAAGCTCCCTAGTGGTTGATAGCAAACATAACAACTTACAAGAAATAATTTGCTTTCATATATTGTTATTGTTATTTGATATGCGGTCCTAATAGAAATTAAATACCTCTCTTTATAATAGGAAAATATGTTTATATTCTGATTACTAATTGAACAAACATCCCCAGTTATGGAAAGATGATGCATGTATGTATGCATGAATGGGACTAGTGTTTTGACCTCACTCATAGTTAAGAAGGGAGCCTATTGTAGCAAAATTCGAGTTAAGTACACAATGATTTGAGTTCATTACACAATGCTACTTATACAGTATTATACAATAATACTGTTCCGGCTTACATACACATTTGACTTAAGGACAGACCTTGGGAAAGGAATTCCTTCTTAAAATGGGGACTCCCTGTAACTGAAATAGTGTGCTACTTTTTATGTTATATATAAGCATAAAGATCTGCCTTTGTTAGATGATGCCCTTGTGAGCATAAAGGGCTAAAAGAATACTGAGTACTGAACAGAAGTGAGAAACAAACATGGGGATAGTAGGAGGCAGTATATAAAGAACCCCCCTTTATCTACAGGTCAAAAGACTCATAGATTCAAAGAGACAATGTAGTCTTCAGCACTGTTTCCCAATAATCATCTGTTGTCTGGAAATATATAGAATGCAGATAATAATTTCAGATCTTGCAAATCTCCTACTTGCCCAGCATTTTCAAGACTTTTTTCATCTGTTGCCAACACACTATTTGTCCTCATTGCGCTGCAACAGTTATGCATTCAATTACTTCGGCTTTTTAAATAGCCTGTGATATGATTTTAAAAAAAAGTGCCACTTTACTTTGTTTTAAATATACCTGTAACAGCCAAGTATTTAAAAATATGCATAGTTCTCCAGGGACAGGTTGGATAAAGCTCACTCCTCAGAGGTGGTGAGAAGTTGCATGATTTTTTAAACTACATAATGCATGAAATAATCTTATAAATCGCCCTCTGGGGGAGATGGGCAGCATATACATTTAATAAACAAACAAACAAATAAATAAATAAATAAATTGGGGGTTGTTGCCATAGGAGCAACAGCTTCTTGAATGAGTCAAACAAATTAATAAGTTTACAGATAGATTCTGGGTCCTGGGCCTTTACCTTCTTTTGAAGCAGAGAAGCAGAGAATTATAGGGTTGGAAGGCACTTTGAAGGTCTCCTAGTCCAACCCTCTGCCCAATGCAGGAAATCCTCATACCATCCTGCATAAATAAAGGTTTGTTTGTTTGTATTGTTGAAGGCTTTCACGGCCAGCATAGGATGGCTGGTGTGGGTCTTCCGGGCTGTGTGGCTGTGTTCTTGAAGTTTTGTTTCCTAACGTTTCGCCAGCTCCTGTGACCGGCATCTTCAGAGTGCAGAGTGCAGAGTGCAGAGTGCAGAGTGCAGAGTGCAGAGTGCAGAGTGCAGAGTGCAGA